CCAGGTGACCGCCAGGTGGCCGCCAGGTGTGGTTGAACAGCCGGGTCGCTGTTCTGGCCGTCAGTCCTGACGGCGCCGGCAAGACGAGCCGGAAAGCCCTTGGCAGTGAGTCGGCCCCCGGCCGCGGCAGCCCCCGGGGAGCAGGAACGCGGGGAGCGCGCGCTCCCGCAGCCCCTCCGCCGTCGCTGGCTCCAGACCGACCGGGGCTCCTTTCGCGGGAGGGGCGGGCGGGGACGCAGGCGACCCGTTTGGGCCGAGGGGCCAACTCCCTTGCCCTCCCCGGCTCCGCGCAGCAAGTGTCGGAGCTGCAGAGCCAACTGGACAAGCAGGCGCGCGCCATCTCGGAGTACGACGCCAAGGTCAGCCAGCTGCAGGCGCAGGTGAGCCAGAACCAGAACCACCTGCAGAGACGGAAGTGGCTGCAGGAGGAGATGCTGAGCAAGAACGAACTGATCCAGCAGGCGGAGCAGCAGGCGCGCGTGGCCCTGGAGAGCGCCCAGTCCCGGGTAGGCCCCGCCCCGCGGGAGGCCGCCGCACGCGGGGAGGGCGGGGCCTGCGCGGGGAGGGCGGGGCCTCGGCGCGCGGCTGCTCCTAGCCCCGCCCCCGCACAGGGCAGGCGCTCCGGGAGCGCTGGCGGGGAGCGCGAAGGGCTGCAGGGGCTCGCACGGCTTGCGGGGTGGCGGGAGGGGCCCCCGAGGCCGGGCGGACCGCGTCCGGCTTGCGCCGTGAGGGGCACGAGGGTTGGGGTAGCCGGCCTGGAAGGAGCGCTCCGGGCCGGGCGCGTGGGGCAACGCCGTCTGTTTGTTGTCCTCGCGGAGCGCGCGTGCGTCCCGCGCGGCTCCGGGCGGCTCCGGGCAGCTTCCCCACCCGCCGGACGGTGCTGGGAAGCCGGTGTTCGTAGCGTCCTCGCTGCTCACGCAAGAGCCTGCAGCTGGAGGGGCGAGGAACCCCCCAGCCCCCTCGAGCTGCGCGGGGGTGCAGCTGGGGTGCGGGGAGCCCCACCCCGTGTCGGAGCCCCCATGCTGCAGGCCAGCAGAGGCACAGACAGAGGTGCAGGGCTCTCGGGCCGGAAGGAAATCAGCCAAGAGCTGACCCGATCCAGAATCCAAAAACCAGAAGGGACACCTCCCCCCTCCAGTGCCTGCTGTGGCGGGGCGTGATTGCCCCCACTCCCGCAGGGGCCAGCCTCCCGGTGGGTAGATCGGCAGCATCACCCAGGGCCCCCTTGCTCTCCTAAAACTGTTTGGGATCATCCGGTGGTCCCCCCGCTAGAATGTGGGTGAGGCATGGTGGCCCCGTCTGGTTCTCCCTGTGAGTTTGGTAGTGCCTGGAATACCGTGTTGAGAAAGTTTGTGGGGGCAGGTCTGGGGTCTGCAGGGAGTGGTGCGGAGCGGTGATCCGTGAGTAATGCCTGAGACAACCTGGGCTGTAGGGCACTGTGGCTGGACACCCAGGTGACCGTCACCCCTGCCCAGCAGGAGTCACCTCCCAGTACAGGGGACGAGGCCCCCATTCCCTCGGTAACCCCTACACTCCATAGGGAAGGGCTCAGAGCTAGCCTCAATCCACATTGGAAAAAAAGGAAGCCCCCTCCCCACCCAAGGTCCAGGGGCTCCTAACACGCCCTCTGTCACTTCAACGCTGTCCCGGGGCAAAGTGGACCGGCCTTCAGCCCTAGGGAGGCAGGGCAAGCTCCCTGGAGGCTGGCTCCCACGTGGCACTTCTGCATTGTCAGGGTTCTGTTCACGAGGAACTTGGGGGACCTGTCTGAGTGCTTCTGGGGTACAGATTGGAGGAGGTGGGCTGGAACACGGCACTCGCACGAGGATGCTGTCGGCAGCAAGACTAGACAGCCTTAGCTCCATCCTAGTTAACGCCTGGTTACCGCCCGGCTCCTGGCTGGTTAATGCGAACACGGTTCTTTCACTGACCCCAGGCACAAACTGCCTCACCCTCCAGAGAGCGGGAGGAAGGGCTGGGAGGACAGTGGGAGGACGACGGGAGGGACGGAGGGCCCGGTGTTCCCTTTGCTGCTAACAGTGAGGGGCTCATCGGCCAGCAGGGTGTTCCCCGGGGCCATCACAGAGTCTCACCCCGGGGCAGGAAGGGCCGTGCCAGTGCCCACGGGATGGCCTGGGGACACTTTGGAGAACTTGTACTGTTTTTTTCTTTTTTTGTACAGGTTTACTTCTTCAATTAAAAAAAAAAAAAAAGTAGTAGAAAGTCTTAAAGACTGAGTGCCCAGCCGCTCTGGGTCTGGGTTTTGATCGGGCACCTTCTAGCTCACAGGCGGACCTGCGGCCTCTCCAAACACTTCCAGTTCCTAAAGCTGGACAGATCTACCTTCTGGAAAGGTTCCCTCAGGGGTGGGCATGACTGGCTCCCCCCCTTGCCTTTGCTCACAGCTTGAGAGGCTGAGAAACAAGATCGTCCAGGCCACCTTCAGCACCTCTGGGGCCAAGTCCTTTGCTACTGAGATCTCCGACAATGACATTCTAGAAGCTTTGCAGGTATCCCTGGCACTGGGCTGCCTCCTGGTCCCCGAGGCTGTCTCCAGGGTGCCCCTTGCTGATCTGTGGCTGGGGACTGAGGGGACCCCTGTTCTTGTCCTGGCTGTGTCACCATTCACTGTGTAGCCCGGGATCATCCTTGCTCTCTGCTTGGGGAGAGGGGACCAGATCTCCCTCTGGTGAGGCTAGGCTGCTCTCAGCATTCGGATCCGGGGTGCAGTGGGGACGGGGCCGAGCTGCTGAGGTCCTGGAGGTTCTCCAGCAGCAGGAGCACCCCCCCCAGCTTCTGTCCTCTTTGGGGGCTGCTTCTTAGGACCTCAGCAGGACCCGGGCATGGTCCCCTTCCCTGGCCTTGGTTCAGGCTGTCATCTCACTGACCCCAAGCACAGGCCTCACAGCGGGAGGGCGGTACGGAGAAAGAGCGCGGGCTTTGGGGCTGGCAGGAGCAAGCCCCCCACCTCTGTGGGCCTCGGCTGACAAGCGGTGGGCTGCCTCATGGGAGAGAGCCTGTCCGCCTTCTGGGCACAGTGTTGGGGGTGGGGATCTGGGAGAAGAGCCCCTGACTGTCATGTGCTCTGTGCAGGACCCTATGGATTCTCATTAGGGGCCGCTTCTGTCCCCACGCTCCAAGCCTCCCATGGCACGGCCCTTTGCCTCAGCAGGTGCCTATGACCTTCCAGCACCCACATTTCCCCGAGCCCTGATTTCCTTCCTCTGTGTTGTGGGGTGGGGCCCTGTAGGGTAGCAATAGCCTGGTGGGGGGGACCTGCAAGAGGACCTGGGGAGAGGCCTCTGCCACCCAGCTCCTGTTGCTTGGTGTGGAGCGGGGGAAGGAGCGAGGGAAGGGGGGAGTCATCAGGAGCCCGCAGTAGCCAGGAAAGAAGCCCTTTCCTCTGCTGGACACCAAACAGTGATGTGCCAAAGCAGGAGAGGTGAGGGAGGGGGCCGGCCATCTCCCTGTGCCCGGGACAGACTCGATGGCCTCTGAGCTCTCTTGGTCTGGGCGGCTTGACGTTCTTGGAGGACATAAGTGGAACTAGGGCTGCTTCAGGGGAGAGGGGACTCCCGCCCACCTGTGGCAGGCATCTCTTCCCAACTCCGAATTCTGTGGCTTTATCTCGGGGGTGGGCTCAGCCCTGGTGGGGGTGTTTCCAGCCCGGAAGTTAGCAAATGCTACAGACCAGAGCTCTCCCCGCTGGAGAACAGAGCCACGGTCCGTGCACACCATTGCTGCGGGCCGGCCGCCCTCGTGGGGGGAGAGGCAGGGTCCCTGCAGCCTCGGCCTCGTCTCTGTCACAGAGGATCATCTCTGAGAGAGCCGACTACTACAGTCAGCTCAAACAGAAAGGCGTCAGAGTGCCCCCGCTGCAGCAGACAGAGGCCCTGTCCTACCTGAACAAGTCCAAGAAGACCACCTCCAAGTAGATGCAGCCCGGGCCCCCAGACGCCACCTGCCCGCCCAGCGGACGCGGGACCCAGCTCAGGGACCCCCTGTGTGGCCCGGCCTTTCCACTTTAGAATTAAACTCTGTCCTTGGCCATGGACTCAGCTCTTCCTTCTCTGGGGACTCATGGGGGCTTGGGGGACAAACACACTGCCCCCCCTTCCTGGGGAGACCCCCACACTGAGCCAGGGCCCACCCCAAGACCCCAGGCTTGGGAGGCCTGAGACCCGGTGCCCATCCGCTCCTTCCCTCCCCCCTGCTGCACAAACCCATGAGGTGGGGGCTCCCCTGGCTGGGGCACAGCTTGGACCGGTTTGGAAGGTGGTGGTGGCCGTTTTCTACCCCTGTTCCCGTCACTGCTGCCGGAGTGAAAGCTCTAGGAGGCCACGCACCCTGATCTGCGCGTTCGCCCGGTCTGCGTCCCGCACCTCTCAGGTTCGCGGCCCCGCAACGCGCTGAACGCAGGCACCCGAGTGCGGCGGCTGGTCTCGTCCCCCACTTCCACCCGCCTGCGTACGCAGCCGGCCCTTCCCGCTTCGCGCTCGCCGCGGGCCCAGTACTGGAGCCGAGGAACAGCGGGGACCCCCGCGCAGCTCCCCGGGCGCACCCTGGCTGGGCCACCTCACCGATCGGAGCGGAGCCGGGAGGCTCCAGGGCCCGCTTCTGCACCGGAGCCCGGCACCGGTGCGGTCTGGGGGTGGCCCGGCCCCCTCACCCCTGGGACCCCCGAGGGCCCTGCTGCCCGGGCAGCCCCCTCCCCTGCAGACCCCAGCCCACGGGGGGCCCCTCCTCTGCCGACCCCTCGCCCCCGCGGCACCTTCTCGTGGCCCCCGCTCCGCCGCAGCCCCGTCTCTCGCCTGCAGCCCCTACAGCCTTTCCCCCTCAGTACGCGCGCCCTCCCGCGGCGCCCTCCCAACACCTAGGGCCCGGGGTGGGCGCCCCGGTGCGGGCTTCGCCGCTGCCCCGCCCCCGGCCGCCCCGCCCCCAGGCCCCGCCCCTCCCGCCGGGACACGTCTGCGCGGCGCGGGGGACGGAGGGCGGTGGGACGCGCGTCCCGGTCAGCTTCGTGGTGAGGCGGGCGGAGGAGGTGGGCCTGCCGCGGCCTCCCTGCCTTGCGAGCGGCCGCCCGGGGGTCCCGGAGCTGCGGGGTGGGCGGGGGCGGGGGCTCGTAGCGCTGACCCGGCCGGGAGGCCACGTGCGGGAAATGTCCGCCGGCTCCTGCTGGCCGCGGGGACACTCCGGCGCCCGCTTCCGCTCCCGCTGCTCGCAGGGCCGCTCCCCTTCACCTTTTCTTCACTTTGTTTCTGTTGTTGTTGTTTTTTTTTTTTTGGAGGCCTCGGGGATCCGCTGCTCGTCGGACCTTGACCTGCGGCCTGGGAGGAGGCGGGCGAGATCCACTGGCCGGGCTCTGACCGCCTGACCGCCTTCCTGGGCGCCGGAGTCCGGGCCCCCACGCCAGGACTCTCCCTTCGTAAGCTGTGGGCGCCTCAGGTGCTTTGGGGGAGAAGGGGTCTGAGGTATGCGGTGGTAGCCCCAGAGGGTCCCCAGCTTGGGTGTCTCCAGGTACCGGGGGACCCTGCGGGGCTGGGGGCTGGAGAGCCAGGCCCTCAGGATCCCCTCTCTGGGCACCTCCCCAGCTTCTGGCGGCTCCATCCAGCCGAGGTGGCTTCAGAGCCACCACCTAGTCTCCGTCAGGTGGGAGTGCTTTCCCCTGCCGGCTGCAGGAGCCCAGGCTTGAGCAGGTGGGGCTCACTCTTCTCAAGAAGCCCAAGGGTGGGTGAGGGCTGGTGTTGCAGGGGTATCTGGGTTGCAGTGTGGCTTCTGCAGCTCCGGCCATCGTGCGAGGGCAGGAGGAAAGTGGCTGCTATTTTTTTGGTCAAAGTGAGAAACCGTGAGCTCTGCTCCACTCCAGCCCTTTGCGGGCCTCCCGGTGACGTGGGAAAGCAAGCGCCAAAGTATTAAGCTTGTCTTAGCCCCCCGCTGTCATTTGGGGTGGCACATTGCTGCTGGGACAGAATGGGGACTCTGCCCACGGGCGGCAGGAGGGGACATCAGGTAGGCAGCCCCAGAGTCGGCCCGGAGCCCCTTTCCCAGACATACCTGGGGAAGCGCAGCCCACACTGTGCAGACACGCGGCCTCCCTTGGCCCTGGGAACAGCCACTGATCAGAGTGGCTGCGGCAAAGCAGGTGCCCCGACCTGAGACTAGCTGAGATGCAGGTCTTGTGGCTCGGAGACAAGCTCCCTTCCTTCCGTCCGCTGGCCTGGGATGGGGGGAGGGTGGACGCAGAGGCACGTCGGGAGGGTACAAACTGCCGTCTCATGAGGTTCTGGGTTAGCCTCTTGCTATTCATGGGCCTGCTGTGCCTTTAAGCCTCTCTCCCGGGTTCCGTGGAAGGGGGTCCCTAGAAGGGAGACCCCTGCATCTCCAGCTCCTGCACTCCCAGCAGGCCCAGGGACCCACAGGCTCTGGCTTTTCCTGTAGGCGGTGTGGGGGAGGGGCTGCCACTGGAACCGGCTGGAGGACACAGGACGCAGCTGCCGGTGCTCTGGACGCTCCAGGCCTCCGGGGAGGGTCTGGCCCGTACCAGCCGCCGCCCCGTCCCTTGCCTTCCCAGCCTCTGGAGAAGCTCTGGGGCCTTATCAGTCAGGAATGGGGAGGGAAGGCAGGCAGTTATGAGGTCAAGGACCCATGGTTTCGGCCAGGGCGGCCTCAGCTATGCCAGAGCCCCCTCTCCTCCTCCTCCGGACTGGGCTGGGTGGGGACAGCCTCTCACATTCCTGAGGGACGGGTTTGCAGCCTCCCGGGGTTGGAATTCTGCCTTGGCTTCCTCCCATGTGACCCTGAGCAAGTGGCCGGTCCACTTGGAGTCCTGGTCCCCTGGGAAGCCAGGTGAGAAGATGGGGGAGGGGCAGCCAGCCCACAAACCCTCCGGCCGACCCTGGCCTTCACCTCACTGCAGCCCCACACAGAGCCCCAGCCACTGCGCTCACTGGGGCCATGGGTTACGTGGAGTCGGGGCCCGCATGCCTGCCTTGGTCCCCCTGCCCGTGAGTGCTTCCGCCCACCTCCTGCCCCTCTTTCCGTAGCTCTGCAGCATGCAGCCCCAGGACAGTGGCGTCCAGTACAGCAGGTGGGATGACCGCAGCCGGGACGAGGTCCATGTGGCGGCCGGGTCCAGCGCAGAGGCGGCCTGGAGCTGGGCGCGGTGAGGACCCACAGGCCTGCGGGAGGAGCCTCCGCCTCCTGTCCCTCCTGATGGCTTCTGTGCTGCAGGGCGCCCCACCCCGGCCCCAGCAGTCCCGGCCAACCTGGGCTCTGCACTTCCGCGTGCGGCTTCCCTCGCTGGGGTCCCTCCTGTCTCCCGAGTCGGCAGAGTGCACAGGCCACCCTCCTTCGGGGTCCCCCTGCTCCAGGGCCCTCTCCCTTCCAGCCTAGCCCCCCAGTCCACTCAGGACGGGCTCATGTGTGGGTGCTTCTCTCCCTAGGATCTCCCGGAAGCTGTGCTCGGGCAAGCTGGGCATTGCCATGAAGGTGCTGGGCGGAGTGGCAGTCTTCTGGGCCATCTTCATCCTCGGCTATCTCACTGGTTACTACGTGCACAAGTGCAAATGAGGCTGTCCCAATGCGGACGCTCGGGGCCGGCTGCCCGTGCGCGGGGACGTGGGCTTGGATGGACCCCTGTATACCAGCACCACTTTGTGTACACAGAACCCCATATATACAGTCCTCGCGTACGGAAGACTCTTCTCTCTGGACAGACGTCCCCCCCTCGCCCTTGCTGTGGTCACTGGCCAGCACGTGGGCACACAGGTGCACATGCCTGGCAGCACGTAGCTAGCCCGGGACACGCGTGGCTGGGAGAGGGGCCCGCTGGAGCTGGGACTGTAGGACACGCCCCCATGGCCCCTGCAGGGAGAGGTCCTCCCTGGGCGGGCCTCTGCCCACCCTCCCAGGGCGGAGAACCCATCCTGGAAGTTGGTCTTGAGGGGGTGGGGGTGGGGAGTGGGAGGGGTGGAGTCTCTGCCCTTGTCTGGGGCCCACCGCCCAGTCTTCCCTGCTGTGAACGGGGGTGTCCCCCTTGAGGGAGCGGATCCAGTGGGAAGGCACTTCCCCGCCGGGCCCTGTGGGAGCCCGTGTGCTGAGGCAGCCATTAAAAGTCTGTTGAATGAAGGGTGGGTGAAAGCCTCTTCCACCGGGCCCCAGGCGCCCTGCGTGAGGCCAGCTAGAGATCACTCGACAACAGTGGGAAGCTTGTGGGAAGGGCCTGTCCTCCCTCCCACTTGGCTCTGGGCCTTGGAATGTGTCTGCCTGGCTGGGCCTTCTTGTGGGACGTGAGCCCCTGGGGCAGGCCCGAGGACTGGCCACTGGTGGGACCTGTTCCTGCCTCACCTGACTGGCCTCGGACAAGGCCTCTCGGCTCAGGGCTCCAGTCCTGTCCCCCTGCCTTGCCCCCAGTGGGTGCCCTCTGGGCCCTCTGTTCACCCCCGCCTACTGACTATAAGCTCACAGCTCAGGCCCCATAAACCTTTGCCAGAAACACCTTAGCAGAGTGCTTCCCAGACAACTGAGGGCAGGAGATGCCGGACAGCCACTGTCCTCTTGGGCCCCGAGACTGGAGGTCACATGGCAGATCTGGGTGTCAGGTGCCAAGCTGGCAGGGGCGGACAGAAACCCCTTAAGACTGGCCTGCCTGTTAGGGATGGCTGCACCACGCCGGTGGTCCCACCACGCCGGTGGTCCCCGGCTCTGCCCACAGGAGGGAGGGGTGCCTGGTGGGCCTGGCCTGGGTTGGGGTCTCCAAGCAGTGACGGGGGCCGGCTGGGGTAGGGAAGCTGGTTAAGGGGCAGAGGGGCTAGTCCAGCCGGCCCTAGTCTCTGGGCCTCGGCACCTGTCTCCAAGACCCGTTTCCCAGCCCTGTTGGGCCACACTTGGGGATGGAGGGGTGCCAGCCAGCTGGCATGTACCCAGCCTTACCCTGGAGCCACCGCTGGGGGGGCATGGCTGGGCTGCACAGCCTCCATGGGCTCTAAGATGTTGGCAGTTTCCCCGGAGGTGCAGGGGCTGGGTCTCCCCAAGACTGGGTGCAGCCTCTGCCAAGAGCCTGGCCAGGGCACTGGACAGAAGAGGAGGGCCCCTGGCGGCTGCCTGCCCAGCATTTCTGAGGTCACTCTACCCCTACCCCCCCCACTTCCAAAACGCCCAGCAGGCTTCAGGGTCCCCCCACCTCAGCAGCCCCAGGCAGAGCGCAGTGAGTGTGTGGGACAGGTCAGACTAGAGGGGCTGGGGGCAGGGCCCGAGCACAGCAAGGAGGGAGCACAGAGCAGGTGGGGGCAGCAAGCACATGTGGTCCACATGCGAGGGGCACTATGGGGAACCAGTCCCAGGACGGTGCCCTCAGCCCCTCCAGCTCAGACCAGCACTGCCCAGTGATCCCCGCGGGTCCTCCCTGGCTTGGGGGGAGGGCACCGTGTGGGCTACAGCCGATGACAAAAGCCATCAAGACCCAGCCTTCATGCTCCATGCACCCTGAGGCCCAGCGGGTGTCCGGACGGAGCAGGGTGCAGCGGCGGCTCCCTGGCGCACGCGCATGTCCCCGCCGCGGGCTGCAACGGGCTGCTGTGCGGGGAGGCTGTAGGCAGAGGCCCTCAGGCCACAAACAGCCTTGTGAGTTGCCTCTGCCAGATGTGGGCCCCGGGGCCCTGGCCAGGGAGGGGGCAGCCCCCTGCTGAGTTGTCAGGCGATCTTTCCTCCCACATCCGACTCACGAATGAGAGCTGCTGGGGACAGGTGCCCCTGTGAGGGGTCCAGCAGCTCCCTGGGCAGAGCCCGCGTGATCGTTACGTGCCTCTTGCTTTTTGCTGGCAAGATCTGGGCTGCGAAGGGGGGGGTTCAGGTCCTCTGTTTCCCCCCAGACACTACCCTGAAATACTGCCAAGGAAGGAATTGCTGGGGAGGGACGCAGATGTTTTTATTAAAGGACTTTTATCAGCGGGCTGGACCGGCAAAGAGGAAGGATGTCTGGTTTCTGGTGGTGAGCTCAGTGCGTCTGCATTCCTCACACTGGGCTGGGCTGCGTCGGAAGGGCACCAGGCCGGCAGTTCTGCCCCCGTCAGCGAGGTCGTCCGCGAGGTCACGGCTGACAGCATGTGGCCCGCCCAGCCGCAGACCCACGCCAGGCAGCCCCCCCACAGCAGTCACCACCCCGAGAGCCCAGGGATTGTGAGAGGACAAGCCAGAACCCCGGCACAGATGTCGGTGAGGTGTGGGGTTAACAAAACAAGGAAAAGCCACCATCTGGCACACCTTCAGCCCAGGGACCGAAGGGAGGGCCTGGGATGTCGAGAGCCCTGCTGGGTCCTCGAAAGCAGCCTGGCTGAGCTCTGGGAGGACCTCGTGCCTGCGCGAGCTCCCTTGCTTCCCTGTGTCCGGTTTCGATGGCCAAACGCACGGGTTCAGTGGGCCTCCCCCAAACGCTCCCCAAGTCAGCACACACGAACTGTCTCCTGCAGGTCACAGACCGTGACACCGAGGGGGTCACGAGATACCAAAAGCCAGTGAGTAGGTGTCTTGTAACCCAGCCCGGCCACCAAGCAGGGAGGTCAGAGAAAGCCCCTACCCCGCGGCCGGCCGGGGCCTGGGGTTCCAGGAAGGGGCATGCACGCGCACTTGCACACAGAAACACACTCATGCCGTGGGTGTGGGGCCCAAGACATGCAAAACTGGAAAGAACCTAAAACACAAAACGCTGAAGAACCATCCACCGGCCGTCTTTGTGGTTGCTGGCTTCCAAGTTCGCCTTCTGTGGACACCGTCTGTCCTCGAGCTGGCGGACAGCAGAATGGCCTGTCCGCGGACGCCGAGTCCACGACAGGGCGCCGCGTGCGAGCCCCGAGTTCTGACGTCGGCTGCTCCCTCCAGGCCGCACGGGGGGCCTGTGGCGCTAACCCCTACACATCCAACCACAAGAGCAAGAAAAAATGCAGCCACCAATTCTGAAGTCACCTAAAAGATTTTTTTTCATAAAAAGAGGACGATTTGGGGCCAACTAGTGAGGGATGGGGCGTCTCTCCACACCTCGAGGCTGCGCCCCCGCACGCTGAGGTTTCCAAAGCTGCCAGATCGCAGAAAAGTCACGGCGCAGCCCACTGCAACACGCGGTTTAGGTTCCCGGGCCAGAGCTGAATGTCCATACCGATGCACGTCTTTCTTCCCCTGAAGGTAGCGGCTGAGTTCACATCTTTGCAGAAGGTTCTGAACAGTTAATTCTGATATTTGACAATTTTGTAAAAAGCCTCAGTAAAACAGTTTGGCGGTGGAAAGGCAAAAGGATTCAAGTCCATGGCAACGTGGTCTCACTGCGGCAGGAGGGACTGGCTGGACGGACGCCGCAGGGGAGGCGTAGGTCTTACAAACCACCGGGGAGAGAAACAAGTGACTTAACGTCCGCACAACAACGGGCAGAGCCGAGGACCCATGCAGCTGGCTGGCGGGGGCGCCAGGGCTCAGCGGATCACGGTCACGTGGGGCGCGGCGAGGCCCAGGTCCGTCTTGGAGGGGTACACCACCTTCAGGTGCCCGTCCTCGTCCAGCACCCGGACCTGCTCCACCACCAGCGGGGTGCTCCCGGCCCTTGCGGCACCTGAGCCCGCACTGGGACCCGGGGGCTGCCCGGAGACCGCGTCGGCATCAGGATCTGAAAGGGACCTGTCCTCTTCATTTTCTAGCGCGTACTTGTTGATTTCTGCCATTTTCTGCAAAGGAAAAATACCATTTCAGAAGCAACCGGGGGTGGCGGTTGCGAGGGGCGGCGGGAATACGGGGGGTCCGCCTAGCGCCCCTGGGGGCCAACTGGGCAGGAGGACGGACTCACCAGCACGAGGGCATCCATGACCTCCTTACAGGTCTGCAGGCTCGTAGCACTTGTTACTTCCAAAAACAGGTCAGAAGTTGTTTTCTTAATCTTAAATCCGAAGAGTTTCAGAGAAGAATAAAGTTACCAGAGACGTCAGCAAGTGCTTGGAGGAAAAACCTATGAAAAACGGTGCCACGCAAACCAGGCCCGTCCGCTTCCCAGAGGAGAGGCGGGGACGCACACGCCGTGACTCTTGGTGCAGCAGCATGTGGGACAGGGACACAGGCTCGGGGCCCGCACGGTCCGGGGGTGGACGGGACGTCACCGTGCCACAGCCGCCGACACAGGGATCGCACAGGCATGGCCTTACCTTCGTCTTCTCGCTGTTGGTTATCGGTGGGAACGAAATCACGTCGCCGTCCGCATCCACAAGGCAGGGGTAACTCTCCTTCCCGTCCAGCAAGCGCAGGTATCTGCGGGGCAGGGAACGCAGAGGCGTCACCATGGGAGCACCAGGCCGATGCCAGCTCTTGAGACGGATCCGTGGAAGGTCACGGCGTCTGAGAGCCGGGGAGGGAGACGTGCTGAAGTCGTGCTCACACGGGCCTAGGGCAGTGGGCCACCCACACCCTGCCCCAGCCGTGGGGGATGCGCGCAAGACGCTGTTGGCCGGACGGCTTTCCTGGCGTCAGGGTGACCGCATTTGCCCTCCCCTGTCCCTGTGCATGTGCTTTGGGCAGGAGGACCCCCGTCCCTCCAGGTGAGGGCCCATGAGCTTAAGAAAGCCTCTTCCCCCCAGAGCAGTGCCTGAGCCCCGGCTCCGCCAGAGCAGAGGCCGTCTGCCACGGCTGCTGACCCACGCGGAATCCCCACCAGCACAGCGGACGAAGTCCGCGAGGTTTCACTTAACACCCATAAGAGCAAGTCGCAAGTTGGGGCAGCCTAGGGGCGAGGCCGGAGTGCCCACGGGGCTGGGGCGGAGGGAGGCGCACTGACCTGTGCAGGCCAGACAGGTTCTGCCTCTTCTTCTGCTTCCTGTGCTCCTCCGCCTCCAGCTGCAACTGCCGCACCAGGTCCTTGGCCTTGACTTCTTTGCGCCCCAAGGGCACAATCTGTGGGATGGACACCTGGTGGTGAGCTCAGATGCAAACAGGGTCCCCTGACAGCCACCACCACCCCACGCCGCCCGTCCTCCGCTCATGGGCACATCGGCTCGGCATCCCCTCAGCTCCCCCTGCACTCTCCTGTGATGGGGGCTGAGCACGCGGGGCCCATGGAGGCCCCTCAGGGACCTGACGGCCACACATGCCGGTCCTCTCCAAGCTGGGCTGAACCTTCAACATGCCACACGCGATCATGCCACAACATGCCACATCTCCCAGGCCTGTGGCCCCTGGAAGGCCAAGAGGGGAGGGGCAGGGGCCGGCACCGGTCAACTAGGCGTGCAGCTGGGCACCAGGGCTACGGCGGCCCCCGGGGAACCCTGGGCGCCACAGGGAGTAACAGACCCGTGGAGGGACTTGGACAACCCAAGCTCACGCATGTCCACTCCGAACGAGGGGTTTTGCAATCTGTCCACAAACCAGTGTTTGGTGGAAGCTGAGGAAATACGGGAAACCACTTTCTAATCACTCCCTCCTCCGACGAGCGGACTTTCAAGGAAACTATAAACACGGCCTGTGTGTGACTCGGGAGCGCTTGCCAGGGGCGACGCCCGACCTGCCTCAGAGCACAAGCGCGGCTGCGTCCCTGGAAACTGCAAAGAAACAGTGCAAACAGAGGGAGCATGGGGCGTCACCTTGAGGTCCTGTGGCGGGCGGGCGGTATAGAGCAGGGGCCCGCGCACGGCCCGCAGATCGTGGGTCGCAATGGTGGCCGCCGTCCTCTTCTCACAGACGTCCTCATGGAGCTTCGTCTGCAACGGCAGACCTGCGGGGCTCAGCACCCAAGCGCCTGTGCTGCCCCCGCCCCCCACAGCCTCCCTGGCCCAAATGCATCCTGTGGGTCCTGCACTGGGAACCCGTCTTATCTGTTCAGGGGCAGAATTCCTTCCTTCTGTAAGGGAGGATCTGAGACTTAGAGAACCCTCCCTGAACTAAAATGTGAGCCTGAACAAACGACAACAGGCTTAAAAAGTTCTTCTTGAAAACACCGACGTTTGAGTTCTAAACTCCTGGCTGGGAGCGCGGGAGACTCGGACTTGGGGGGAGCTGCGTCACCCCCACGGGCCACGTGCCGGCTCTGCAAACATCAGAGATGGGGCTCCTACTTTAAAAACTGGGCAAACTGCACAGGAAGACAAATCAGGATGTTCGTCTAGTGTGGGAACAGCTGGCAAGACCTGACCGTTTTCATACCACCTTGTAGGGCACTGTGTAACCCATGACAGAAATGAGAAAATCCCCCAAGCCATCAGAAGCTCGGGAAACACCGATCTCAGAAAGAAGGCGGGACTGGAGAGGCGTCTGCGGAGGAGCAGGCGGCACCCATCCCTGCGGCCGAGACCCAGGGCCACCCCGCTCTGTGCACACGCACTGTTGTGACACGGCGCCAGCCCCAGGGCCGTGCCGGCGCCAGCCCCTCGTGGGCCGTGGGCACCGACCTGGGAGGTGAGGAAGCGTCTGAGTGCGTTCCCAGGCTTCAGGTCCATGCCTCTCACGACGGCCCCCACGATGAACGGCCGGACGTCCTTGACCGTGGGGCTGACCTGCACGGTCAGCGGGGCGGGGTTCTCAGACACGTGCAGGACCCGGAGCAGCAGCCTGCTGGCGTGGTCCACCTCCTCCTCCTCCCCCTCGCCACTCTCCCTCCTCCGCCTCTCGCGCCTCCTCCTGCGGGCCTCTTCCTTCTCGGGGCCGTCGGCCTTGCCCTTGCCCCGCCCGCCGCCGCGGCCTCCGCCGCGCAGGTACTCCAGGATGGACTTGGTCTGGCAGCCGTGGACCATCTTCTCCAGCCGCCGATCCGCCAGCTTGTTTCCCCGGAAATTGACCTCCTTGAGCTTGGGGCAGTCAGCCAGCTCTGCCGGGACCTCGCTGAGCTGGTTGTTGGAGAGGTCCAGCGTCTGGGAGGGAGACGGGGGGTGCGTGGTCACACATCGCCCCCCCGGGAGTACTGCCCCACCCCACGTGGCCTGTCCCCAGCTCCACGCCCAGACTGACACCTGCTACCGTGCCCACGCGGCCAGCAGGGACGGCTGCAAACAGCCCCCCACGAAACACTTCCTGCTCCCTGCAAGGTTCCTTGTGGTGACAACTAAACCGATGGACGAAGGGAGCAGAGAAGGGAGCTCGGGACAAGGGAAACACGTGGTTACGGACAGATAAGCACCTGTGATGAGAAACAGGTTTCCCACAAAATGGTGCTCAGGTTCTTTACGCGAGTTGGAAAGAAAGGACACGGCGCGAGTAACAAGCGGGACCAGTGGGTGTGGGGGGCGGGGGGGAAACCCTGGGGACATCTGTCAGCCCTGGCTGGGCAGAGCACAGCCTGTCACCCGTGATATAGGGAGGACTGATGTGAGGGCTGCCATCCTTGGCCAGCCCTGCCCTGGCAGCTGAGCCCCACGGGTGACAGAAGCCTAGTGCAAGGACAGATGCCCCCGGAGAGAAACCCCTCCCCACGTGCTGGGGCCTCTTGTGGGGCGCCCCGCTGAATGGCCAGACACCAGGACGTCAACGGAACCCGGCTCAGTCAGGTGGCTGGCCAGCCGGTGAGGCCCGGCATGGTGAGTACTCCGTCTTCTCTTGGGCTCCCTTGTCCCTGCCGGGCGGAGTGGACAGGAGGGTCAGGCCTTCCCCGAAGCTGGGTCTGGATCTACCGCCTGGGGCAGCTCCCTGGGGGCGGGGGGGGAAGGGCACCAAGGCACTTGTCTCCCCACGCGGGAAGTGAGGGGAGGGGCAAGCAGAGGCATGTGTGCGGCTGCTCGGGTGGCTCCGTGGGAACCGTGTGAGGTCTCCTCGGGGACGTGGACGGGGCTTGGCTCATTTCACCTGCCAGGGGCAGCGGGGACGCCAGGCTGCCGGCTTCAAGCCTGCACCTCAGGGAGTGCTCTTGCGGTCGTACTCTCAGGAGCCCTGAGCTGCCGCGTGAGACGTGGACTAGCCTGCTGGGCCGGGAGCGGCGCCAGGACATCCTGGACAGAACGCAGTCTTTGGAGCATCGCAGCGAGCCCAGGCCTGACTCACTGCCCGCGGATCAGCGGCACTCGTGGGCGAGCCAGCCCGGGGGGAGACCCGCAGCGCAGGGGACAACTGTTGCGGTTCTGGCCCAGTCCGGTAGTCCTCCCTGTTCACGGCACCGTGGCTGTCCCTGCAAGTCCCTCACAGGCAAGGATGCAGCGCAGGAGCCAGTGGCACGGCCACCAGATGCTGGGGGAGCCACACGCCTGCCTCTGAGCTCAGTTCTCTGCACCCCAACCTTCCCACAGCACGAGCAGGGACAAGATGTCTGTCCGCACAGCCCCAGCGTGCGCGGCAACACGGCTTCCCATGGTTCTCGCGGCACTGGTCCCGGGGGCGTCAGTGCGGAAAGGCCCCTGGAGGACATCGAAACCCAAAAGGGATCCCAACCAGCTCTGGCACCGCACCCGAGATCGACGGAAGCCTGGCAATAGCGAGTGGGGGTTCCGCAGGGAAGACACCCCCAAATGATGGTGTAGGGACACGTGGAGGCCACGGACGTCCCTGGTGGGCACACGTCGTAGAGAACATTTAAAACAAACCTAACCGCCGGGAAGACGTTCCGGATCTGGAGAGAACAGAGCAACCGATCTTGCGCTCAGGAGAGCCGTGCTCAGCTGCGTGTCTGGTACACGGACCTCCTGGGCAGCCGAGATCGGACAGATGGGAGGACGCAGCAAGCCCACGAGGTCACACGTGGTCTGTCACACGTCAGCCCCAATGCGAAGCCTCCAGCCCTGGACAACCACAGCGCCCAGCGTCACCCCCACAGCCTCGTCTGCAGACGCCAGCAAGCATGAGGCACTCCTGTCTTCACTGCACACACGCCCACACGCGCACACAAGCACTCGGATCTGTGCAGACAGACGGACCTGCGAGATCAGCGGACGATACCGAGAGTAACCTCTGCTGACACAAGCCAGTACTTTATTGCTTGACAACGTCTGCGTTAATAGGATGAAAACTAGAAGGAAGAACAACCACAAATCTGCCTTTTTAAGGATGAAAGGGGGAGACGGGGGAGGCCTTGCTCCGCAGGGGCCTCTGAGCTGGAGGTGGGTGTGGCCGGGCAGTGTCCAGCTCCCCCAGTCCTCCTCGCAGGCTTAACCGGCACCGTGTGCCCTGCATTATGCTGGGGCCTGGGGAGGGGGAGGTAAGCAGCCCCTGGACAGTGGGGTGTAGAGGAAAACCCGAAGCACTTGTGCACTGCCGGCAGCCCCTCCGGCCTCAGAACGGACTAACAACCTCCTCCCCGGGAGGGAAACACGTTCGGGGAAATCGCAGCGAGCGGAACTGTGTGGACACCTGCGGCCTCAAGCGGAGCCGTGCCTGGGGCCGACCCCCGCCACGATCACAAATGTCTGGGGCCAGAGACACTTGCAGGTGGGGCTCCGCGCCTGCCCACTCCCGCCCAGCAGCGGGTGGCAGGGTGCCTGGAGGCTGCAGGCCCCGGCTGGGAGGCGGGACACCCCGGCCCGGATCGGCGGCTGCAGGCCCCGGCTCCGACGGCTCCCACCCCGCCGCGCCGCGCCGCGCCTCCAGGGCCCCGGCCCTCTCCCAGCACCCCGCTGACCTTGAGCGAGGCCAGATGCGCGATGTCCGGGCTGAGCTCCCGCAGGCGGTTGTCGGCGGCCGCCAGTTCGCTGAGCAGCGGCAGAGCGCCGGGGCGGAAGAGCTCGGCGGGGAAGGAGTCCAGCCGGTTGCCCGTGAGGTTGAGGGTCTGCAGGCGCGGGGCGCAGCGCGCCAGGTCGGCGGGCAGCTCGCGCAGCCGGTTGCCGCTGAGGTTGAGGCTCTGCAGCTGCGGGAGCCCCGGCGGCTCGGCGGGGCCCAGGCCCTGGCCCGGCGGCAGCGCCTCCAGGGCGTTGCCCGACAGGTCGAGCACGCGCAGCGCGGGCAGCGGGCCGAGCTCGGGGCTCAGGCCGGGCCCCAGCGCGTTGCGCCGCAGCACGAGGCTGTGCAGCTGCGGGAGGCCCTGCGCCAGGCCCGGGCCCGGCTCGCGCAGGCTCCCGCAGCCGCTCACCTCCAGGTAGTGCAGCAGCGGCAGCGTGAAGAGCCGCGGCGGCAGCCGCCCGCCCGCCGCGCGCACCCGCTGCTCCAGCCCCGGGCCCGTCAGCAGCAGCTCGCGCCGCCGCTCGCGCTCCGCCAGCTCCAGCTCGGGCCAGGCCTCGGGCGCCGGGGCCGCCGCCGCCGCCGCAGCCGCCATCGCGCCGCCGCTTCCGCCGCCGCTCCCGGGGCACTTCCGGGGCACGGCGCGTCACTTCCGGCCAGGCCCGGAAGGGGCGGCCCCGCGGAGGCGGTGGGAGGTAAGAGCCCAGGGCACCTCCGGGAGAAGGAGGCGGTGCGGTTCTCGGTGGAGGGGAAGGGTCTACGCGGGCGTTTGTGGCTGCTCGGGGTTGGGGGTGCGGGCCGGGACCCGCAGCCCGACGGGGTCACCCCTCCCCCACCCCGGTCCGACCCCGAGCAGTGACGGACCCCCTAACCCGGGTCAGACCCTGAGCAGTGATGG